CATATATTTAAAGCATGTAATATACCAAACTTGGGCCAGTTTTGGGCCTTGCTTTGTCTTGGGCTTGCATTCTGCTTGGTATAATAAAAGGAATATGAAATAAAAAGTGTTAGTTTTCTTGTAAAGAATATTATTACCTCTGCCAAGGAGGCTATGTTTTCACCCCTGTTTGTTTGTCAGAAAGGTTTCATTTATGCTAGATCCTGAAATTTGATTTAATGAAATTTTCCTGAAATTTTTCAGGATCTAGCATAAATGAAACCTTTCTGACTATCAAAACTAAGATCCAATGAAACTATTTTCACTGTTTGTTTGTTTGTTTGTTTGTCATCATCATAACTAAAAAGTTATGGATAAATTTTGATGGCATTTTCAGGGTGGGTCAGAAATGGGTTAACTTAGAAGTGATTAGTTTTTGGTGGTGATCTGGATCAATAATCAATCAATAATAAAAAACTAAATCATTATAGAATGAAAATTTAGGAGTGAAATGGCATTGGATGGACACTCTGCTGCCTTAGTGGAGGTCTGTGGTCTCTTAGTGCTTTTCTAGTTGCCATTATTAATAAACTGTTGTGTACACTTTATACTTTAAAAGTATTATAAGTTCTCAACCAATGCAATTCTCAATGGTGTATAATATATTGCATGCATTGGGAAAGGAAGGTAACATTTTTGAAACAGATCATTAGTCCACTATTCTGAATTTGGCCTATATTTGTAAAATTGTCAGCTCTCTACCGTATTAATTCTCCTCAAAAACTTTATTCCTTTAAATATCTGGCCAAATAAGAATTATGGTTTGGCAATAGCATATAGCTCTCATATGATTTGAACTACATTTGAAAGGGGACATTATTCTAGGTCAAAAACAAATGTTGCTTTAGTTCTAAATGCTTTAGCCATCATAAATGGGTTTAAACCCTGATAAAATTATATAATCAATACTTAGACAAATTATGAATCTACATATTTAAGGTCATAGATTGTGTTGCGCTTTACAGAACACCCATACATATTCATATGTAACTTGTTCTAAGGCCAAAATAAAAAAACTTCAGACAAATGCATTGAACGATTTGGATGTGTTTATTCTCAGAACTTGCTAGTCCGAAATGCAGACCGCATATACAGCACAAATTGCGTTTTCTTAAAAGAATTTTTGTATCTTTCTGATTACCATTGGGATTTACTACCTACTGAATTCATGTCATTGTTTATATGTTATGATTGGATCAGTCCAATAAGTATTGTGGTTAGGAGGGTTAAGGTGACAATGGCTAACTGTTATCCGCAGGTGTAAAAGAAATGACTGAATTGCATATATTAAATTTGGTGTGGTAAAATGGTTCAAATTTTGTGAAGACCTGGGATTTCTTTCACACAAACAAGTTAACAAGCTAACAAACAGAAAAGTATTTTTTGAGACACACGTTATAAATACTTATTTCATCGAGTTAAAGATGCATCTAAAAATGCATATTCATCATATATTCTAATATCATAAAACAGCCAGAAGGCCAAGCACACAGTTGGGTAGAATTCTTAAAGGAAAAAAACATACAGTCTGTGTATTCTGGAAATTCAACACCTATGGGATCTTTAATTAACTGATGGTCATTATGATTGCATACTTTTCACAAACAAAGGCACCCTTGGATTTTAATTAAAATCAATTAATAAGATTCTGTTAATTTTAAGTGCTCTCTGACCTTTTTTTTTTTTTTAAANATAATTATATCTTTTTAATTCTTTGGGCCATAACATTTAATACAGGCAGCAATTTGTTACATTGCTAAAAAGATTAGGATAGTGGGATTATAAAATAAAAGCGGCCTTGTTTGACCAAATCTTGAACAACCAATATTCTTTGTTCCCTTCTTTCTTGTTGTGAATGATACTATGAAAGTTTGTGGTACGCTGGGATGGAAAAGACAAAAATAATGAAATGACTGCAAGTCTATTGAAAACAATAATTTTGGTTACCTTTGAACAGTCTTGCCCAGCATCACTTTCAGCTCATTCATAGCAAAATTCTGTCCAATACAATTCCTGGAATATTCAACATCGAAAATCAAGTTTTTTTTCCCCCTAAAATACTTTATTCCAACTTTTCTTCTCTTGCCAAAAAATGATGACAATTTATCAAGTTATCTATTAAGGAAAGTAGTGTTTTATTGCCATTTCTCTAACTCACCTTGGACCTGCAGAAAAGGGAACAAAGGAAAAGGGGTCTGTTTTCTTGGCATCTGTGTTTAAGAAGCGTTCTGGTCTGAATTCCTAAAATAATAAATTTTTTACGAAACATTACACTTCCATTGACACTGATTGTTACACTGCTTTTTCCAAGAGGAAATGGAAAACAGGGTTGAGACAGGAAGGGGGGTGGTAAAAATATTTCAGTAACAAGGCTATCTCCAGCCATCATTTGGAAAGCCGTTAGCCTCAAAAGATGGCCCATACTTCCAAAGACATCTGGACAGCTTACAAAAATGTTGGGTTGGTTGGATGGACTCCCTTGGGTATGTACAGTATTTATATCCTTATCAAGTAAAAATTAGCAAAAAGAAAGCTTGGCATATGAATACTACATTATGAATTCATCCAAGGCAGTCTGCTGCAAACACCAGATAGTGACAACCAGCAAGCCGCATATCACATGAGACTAAAATTATGAGTTAAAACCTGTAGGCTTAACTGTTAAGTGATAAGGATGAAACTCTTGGCGCTGGGAAAGTCTTTTTAGAAAACAATATAAAAATGCACTCAAAACAAAGTGAATTACACATGTTACTGATGTCCAACAATAGACTGTAATTCCACATAACATCAGCTTTACTCATTGCCTCACTACACCGCACTGGACAGTCTGACATTATTTCTGACACCAGTCTCTTCCAAATTCCACAAAATAATATTTGATTTCATGCTAAGCCATGAGACTTAAAGCGATCTTTGACAATTCCCATTAAAATATTTCTGTAATTCCTCTTCACCAACACTCTTCACAAAGTCACCAAGTTATGCATCACATTAATCATTTTTATCTTCAAAGTTACATCTTTCAAGTACCTACTGTACCATATCAGCAAAAATGTTCATTAGCTTGGTAGTTGGACCATTACATGATCATTCATATCCCTACCATATGGTCTGGGAACACAACAGAGTTATGGTTCATTTGATGGATGCAGATATCAATCTTTGTTCCAACTGGCACAACATGCCCATCAATCGTCAGCTCCTGGGTCAGTGTACGCGCAATTAAAGGGACAGGAGAGTGCATACGCATAGACTCCTTCAGAAATGCACTCAAGTAAGGCATACCATTGTGCAAATCATTCCTGCAATAATGATTCAATTTTTTTTTCATAAAACTTTCAACTGGCAGCTTTTTCTTTTGCTTTATTTTTATATTTATTTTTTCCATTATTAACCTCAATGATAGTTAGTACATAGGAATTTCCTAAATATTTAAAAACATTTTTGTTTTTTTGTTCGAAATTCCTTCTTTTTTATCTATGACCATAATTACAAAAAAAAAAAAAATCAATGAAGGTTTAATTTTCTTTTTTTCCTCCTTACCAAGTAAATTCTTTATTCTCTCTTTCAGCAAGCAAATTGTCAACTTCTGCTTGAACTTTTTTCTGGTGGTCTGGATATTTAGCCAGGGAGTACAAAGTCCATGCAAGAGCACTGGCAGTTGTGTCATGGCCTGAATATATATATTATGTACATACATAGTTGAAAAAAATTTCAATTCCTTTTATGTGCAGCACATATAGTAAAAAACAAAACTTGATATATATATAAAGTGATGCATTTGGCATCACCATTAATATCTGACATGCCTTTCCCTAACATTTAATACAACAATAAACATCCAAAATGTCCTCAGGACTGCCTTGTCATATTAATCAAAATTATCAGTATTCTGTTACATTAATTTGTGAATTGAGAATATCTCACATTACCTCTAAAAAGGAAAGTGTCTGCCTCAGCTCTGATGTCTGAATCTGACAACCTGACACCATTTTCATCTCTCGCCATCAGCAGTATGTCCAAAAAGTCCAGTTTCTTTCCTTGTCCCCCAACATTGGATTTCTAAATTTCATAGCACAATCATGATTAAATCCTTGCACACATCACACCTGATCTTTTTATTTCATTCTTTTGTTACAACAATATGTAATAGGCAGCTATTTGGCAAATTATTTTTCTAATACTAATACTAATAAGTTACAGCAATCCTTATGTAACTGGATTCAAATAAGATTTTTTTGGAAAAGACTTAGCAAATGTGTGGCTTCTATATACTGTATCATACCCCAGGCCTTAGAAATAAAAGAAAAAATACAAGCTTCAATTACCAACTGTTCTTTCCTCTTTTCAATGATACTTTCAGTTACACCATGTACATAATGTAAAAGACGCTTGTTTTCTTTTCCATCAGGTGTCAGATAGAACACAAAATCAAACCAGAGATGCGGATGACTGAAATGTATAACATTTCCAAACATATAAAATGACTAAACAAAATTAAGGAATGCAACATTTGGGTAAATTTTTATTTTGAAAGTAACATAAAAACATTTTAGCACTGTAAAAAATGTTTAGATTTCATGTGATTACTTCAATGATAATAAGAAATGAAAACACAAACAGTTTGCAGGATATGGACCTATACTTTGTAGCAAGTTCTTTACAGCGTTACCACGGTATTTTTATTTGGAAATGCACATATAAATCCTCAGACACACAATTAGTCTCAGAGGTGTACATAAAATTATGTCACAGAGTACAGAATAGAACAGTATGCACCCATCTGTCAGCATCATTCTAAATGAAAGCTTTGTGATTGATCAGCTCCCAGTCTACGCCAATATAACTTTGGCTTCTGTACTAGACTTTCAAGCATTAAGGACCCAATGACGGGCTAGTGACTAGTCCTACTAGCCAGCTGGTATCTCTCTCTGTGGGCAACTGCTATGGGTTAGTCTGAATAGGTATATAGGCATTAGCCCAAGACAGTTGCCCAATGCAAATTTAATTCACAGTAAATTGAATTCATGTCAACCTGGCCCCCGTTTCACAAAGAATCTTAAATCCGTAGACGTCTTACTCGAGCTGGGTGGCCTAGGTAGGTCGACTTAGCTGAAGTCGACTTGGAGTGTTTCACAAAGAATCTAACGTCTTAGCTTGGCGTGCTTACCGTAGTCGACGCGCACGAGAAACTCTTCAAGAAAAGGAGGTGTAAAATTGCAAAAGTTTCACAAGACATGACGTTTCATGGCCTCTTTCGGCCGAGAATGATTGTTTATCAACAATAAAAGTCAGCCAAAACACAAACAAAGTTTGTTTTTGAACTTTATTGATAAGTTTAACTTCAATACAACTTCAAAGTAACAGTTAAACATTAGCTTGTCGTGGAACACTACTGAGGGACGTCTAGCGGTCAAAAACATAAACAAACACACGATCGGCTGGGTAAAGTGGAATTTTATTTTTTATTTTAATATTCCATAAATGCCAGTGCTATTCAAGGATATTATAACACAATATCTTAAAGGAGGTGTGTTGTTTCCAAATTTTTGTTGTTTATGCTCTCATTTACCGAGTTTTAGTTGAGCTTGCCGACTTAAGTCTCCTCCCGAGGAGGCTTGGCATCGTTGACTTACAGCTAAGAAAAAAACGACGTAAGCGACCTTTTAGATTCTTTGTGAAACGGGACTTAGTGACGTAACGACTTAATTACGTTGGTAACCAAGCCCTAAGTCAGGGAAACCGACTTAAGTTTTTTTGTGAAACGGGGGCCTGGTATTCAAACTTACAAGAATCTGTGCATTGCATGCCTACTTAAGGTAACAACTGCATCGTGGTATGGGTGATCATCACTGTAAATTATAAATAAATAATAACATTGTTAAATAATATCAGTTAAATTCATTTGACACAAACTTACTAATATTTTTAAATTCTAATGTAAATTTTATTTACATTTTAATGAAAAAATATCAGACAAGAACAGTTGAATCAATTCAGCAGCTACATGTGCAATGATTAATGTGCTTGTCATATCCTTTTTGGACTGTTTGAGGGCACAGTAACATTTTGCCTATCAAAACTACCACAATGACCATAACCTACTGACCCTTGGCCCAGCAAATCTGTATTGCATGAGAAGGCACAATTCATCATAACTTCCAAAGTAGCCATGCTTGCCAGGGGGCTTACATCCACACTGTTCCCTTGGTGGGCAGCTGTGGAAAACTTGGCCTAGAAAAAGGTTAGTAACAATTCAATAAAAGTTTGAATGGCAGATAAAAAACAACAAGATAAAAATTTGAAATTAACCCACAATAATTTAAGCTATAAGTACATAGAAATAAGTTTTCATGTGCAAATTATCACAAACACTCCTATTTTTTTAGGAAACAAAAGATGAACAACAATATATTTTGAAAAATATTTCCTGATCATTCAATTTTGTTGTCATGTTGAAAAAAACACCAAGGATCAAAAAAAAAAAAATTTAAAAATTAAAATGTGCAGCATATACCTTTTATTTCTGTACTGGGTAGATTAAGGTCAATTCCTCTACTATTTTTAAAAGTGTAAAATGCATTGGTTGTACTTAAAGACTTAAAGTTTGAACTTGAATATCCAAATAATTATTGTACAAATGTTAAAATAAAATGAGAATTAGTCTCTGTATGCCATTTCTTTTTTATTTGTGAGTAGATATTAGTTTTTCTATTAATCAATGTTATGTTCTCACCATTAATTTTTCAGCAGTCTCATGGTACTTCTTGACGTAGTTTTGGAGTACGTCAAAATGAAAGCCATGGGTCAGCAGACGCCGACTTCTTTTCCATTTTTCACCACTGCTTAACAGCAAACCACAACCTGAAAAAAAGGCAATACTCTAAAGCAAGCATTATTTCAAATCAATTCCAAATAAGTCTTGATCTAAAAAAAAAATAACACTGAGGAAACACCTCAACATAATATCTCTAAATGTGATCAGTACCCTCTAGCCTTGCTCTGTCAGAGGGTACACAGACAAAAATGCAGGAGAGGCTTCAGTACCCCAAGCTGCAGTGGTCTGTTTCCCCCGAGAGGTACTAAAGAAACATACCTGGAAAACATTTTTGCATTCATTTTAAGGGAGATACAAACTGGGGAATCATACATAGTTGTTGACACGATATAATAATGTTGTCCAAGATTATTTACTTTAAAAATTCATCACCATTAGATGTGTATATTATTTGTAATAATGCTATTTCAACTTCCTTTTTTTTTTTTTTTCGTACTATGCATTGAGTTTTACTCTCTGCTGTTTTCGAAAATGGCTTGCGCACCTACATTTCATTCATTACGTTTACCACTACCACTATCAGGGCTATCTAACCATATCAAACCAGTGTGGCCACTGCACCATTCAATGTAACCTTAGTGAAAGATCTCAGAACCTTTAATGTCACGTTTTAATGTTCAATCATGTACCTCTGTTGACATCTCCTTGCCCTTTCTATTATTATCCTACTTTTATTCCTTTGCAATAGATTTTATTTGGAGCGTATGATGCTGTGAAAGTGTTTTTTTATTTATTTTTTTTTTTGTATTCCCTCCATTTTCTCTTTGTATGCCCATTTTACACACTTGTATTTCCTTTAATACAAGTTTGTTTTTTTTACTTACCAAGCCAGTCCAAAAGTAAATTGTAACCACCAAACCCTGGCTTTGGCTCTGCTGTTTGTAAGATACCCTTTACTGTGTCTGGGTGGACAACAGCAAGTCTGGCTTGAAAAGGACCAAACCACTGACAAAAAGCTTTTTTATATTTTTCTGTCAGGGATGAAAGGTACATAACTCCCTCTGGATTGCTTCCAGGGTGCTATTTAAAAAAATAAAATAAGTGTTGTATAGAAAATTCGATAACAAAGCAGGCATATATAGCAAGGCAGCAAAGCCATCAACTGTACAGACAAATGGGTCATTTTGTCAATTTTGGTACAATATATATATATTATAGCATTATTACCACCAACAAACCTTTATTATGTACAACAGGTAACATGGACATTTGAAATAAGGAACTAGCATTGGGCTTCAGTTAATGTATCTTGGTCATAACTCATAAGTATAATTTTTGCTACTGAAAACCAGGTCAAATCTACTCAGGTCAATTGCCAGTAGTCTACTGTGCATGAGCGGAAGTTATGGTCCACATGCTGTCTGGACTCGGCTGGAACGAGGAACGCAAGGCAAGTCACCCGCTCTTCACATTTCTGACACAATTAACTGCATCGATGAAAATGAAGTCACTGAATTGGATTTTCAACCGTTTTTCATTCAAAATGCATGTTTATACTGTCATGGATACATAGTGAAAATCAACTGGAAGACCCAGTCTTTAAAAAAATTCCGCTCACGCGCAGTAGGTTACTGGCGCTTGAAAACCTCGAGTCGTAACCTGAGATTTGACCTGGTTTCCATAGGAGTGCTAACGCATGAATTTTCGTGCTAATGACCCCCAAAGAAAAGATTTATGATTGAAAAATGACCCTTGTCCTTGCAGTGTCAACATCTATTTTAAAGCATAATTAAGAAGTCATACTGTATATGTACTGATATATCCTAGCTATTCATGCATGCAATCTTATCCCTTATATTATACATGTGTACATGTATTAGGAGTGCACATGTACATGTACTGTACCTCATGAACAGTGCCAAACAGCCAATGCTTTTTAGGCCCAGGAAAGTGGCTTATTGCCTTGCAAAACGAGTTGAAAGCCACGCACCATTTTACAAACCGCCAGCATAACAAACCAAGCACAGTGGTCCATATAAAATAAACCGAAAGTGGCAAAACTGACAGAAACATTGTCGTGCGTGCCTGGTTCACGTGAAAACAGCCATGAACAGCCGGTGGAGCTGGAATGCGCAATACGACGCAATACAGCGAGAGAGAGTAAACACTGGAAAAGGTCTTTAACATTAAAACAGGTTCATATGAAAGCGAAAGCGTTTAAAATCCAGTCTGTGATCAGCTGTGAACACCTGGTACATTTCCCGACAACGTTAGAGATATATATGTCAACTAAGATAACACAGAGCTGAAACTGACTCTCGATCTATGGATCTCTGGTTTTGAAACGGAGAGACACATATGCTGTAGTTCACCAGCTGTCACCGTTGTCACGTGGGCAACTATTTTACTCTTGATGCTACGTGCTCCATAATTCTACGCAAATTTGAAATTTAATGCAAGCGTGATTGTCCAATTATAATTCCACCAAAATTAACAGAACTAAACGTAAAGAAATATATGCTCTTGCATGAAAATATGCACGATTTTTAAATCGTAGGAACGAGATTATGAAAATTGCCGCGAAACTGAAAAAGCGGAAGCAAATGGCACCTGTGCGAATGAAATATGTAGTTTCTTTTAGTTCTCAGGTAAGAGAAAAATGCCAGTAAGTTTTAGCTGTGTTAAATCATGTTAACAATTCACACTTAAAGTGCTTTGCAGTATCATATTGTGTATAACTCGAAATGAAAGCTGTGGTGTAACAAATACGTACCTCCGTATCTTCAACTCCGCATCTTTCAGAATTACTTAATGGGTATGCTTGCTCACTATTTTTAATACAGCTTACAAGGCATCAATCAAATGCTCGAACATTATTAATCCGGTTTGTTAAACCGTTGGTGGATACACAGGTATTACATTTAATGGTCGCAGAATAAGTCGTACTGTATGTACGTCCTAACTATTGAATCATTTTTGGCATCTACTTAATTCCATGAAAGGTTAAAATTTATACTATGTATTGCTCGTTTTGTTAGGATGAAAAGCACCCGGTGGAAAATCTTCTGTGCGGTGAGGTACAGAACAAGAAGTGGTTGTGTTCACAAAGTGACCGTAAAGGACATATTGAGGCTACAATTCAGTTAGAACAGTTGACACAGATTACACACATTGACATTGGTGAGTAGGTCTGTTGATGTGGTCAGTGTGGAAGGAGAAAAATTTATTGTTTAAAACTGTTCATGTTATAGTATACCCGTGCATGTATGCACATTTGAATTTGTTATTAGTACTATTTAATGACCTTTATATTACCCAAAGAAAGCACACTTGATATGTTTAAAATTATTAAGATACTATAGTCTGATTGATTCGATTTTTTCAAGATTTTGTTTAAAGATATTGTGCCAGCTGTTGCATTCTCCTATTTGTAAAGTCATTGATTTTTGTTTTTTTCAGATGAAATATTGAACAACAATGCAATTTAGCTATTCATAAGGTTCATTTTAGAGCCAGGAAATCCACAGTTACATGTATTTCTTGATTATTTTTTATGGTAAGCACTCTTTAAAACATCCTTCGATTAGTTGTAGTTCTTCATTTGTTCAGTGAAATTTAACCAAGTTTTTGTTACTGTTCCCAGGTAGTTATGGCTGCTTCACTGTGTCAGTTCAGGTCGGTCTCTCCACTTGGCCTCAAGATCGACCATATCAGACCCTGATCCCAGCCTTCATCTTCATGTCTTTGGCAGACTCAAAACTGGGCAAGAATAAGGTTAAGGCACAGATGTTCAATAAAGGTGTGAGCAAGTGTCATTGGTGTTTGTTAAGGCAAAGTCAAAGTAACAACTGTTTTTGTTTATTAATAAATGTGAGATATAAAAAGTAAATCTTAAAATACTTATACCATATGTCTCATGTAAATTTAATGGTACTAATTTACTAGAAGCATATTTTCAATAATTTACGATTAATTTTATATCTGGCATTCTTTTCCAGACGAACATTTTGACAAGGATGTGTCTTGTCAAAAGTGGGACAGGGTCAAAATTTTGTGCAGTCAACCATTTAAGAAGGAATCTCAGTTTGGACTGATGTTTCTCAGAATTCTTGCAGCCAGCAGTGAACAAACTAATGAGAACAAAGAGGTGTGTATTGTGTTGATTGGTCTATTTGAAATAATTAAACATATTTGTTATGTTCAGAGTTTGGCAAATAATATCTAATGAGACAAGTTTTATCCCTGATTAAATTTATATAGCATAGCTATGCCATGTGTAAAACGTAGGGTGACTGCAAAATAATGTGTATGGAGAAAGGTAACAAAACATTTTATTGGTGCCAACTTATGTTCAAGTATTGATCAAGAAAATGCTTTAAGTGCAGTGTTGTTGAGTATTCAAGTATCTATGCATACATATTAAAACTCTTAATTTGACAATTTATTTGTTTATCTGTAAATGTATAACAGACATGAGCTCTTTCCAATAAACCACAGAATTCCAAGATTTTTAATTAAAATTTGATGTGATCTAAAGCAGACCCTGGATCCTTGGTTAATTGAGTATTTGGTCCCACTATGTTAAGGAACAAACAAACTGCCCCATGTCTGTTAACTTTTTCTAAATGTGTATTTTTCATTTTTCACTTCAGCCTTTTTCTCCACCTTGTAATAAATCACAGGGAAGAAATTTATCCTTCAGAACACCACAGGATCATAAAACAAGCCAAAACTCCTCCCCTGCTTGGAAGTCTGCCAATCAGATAAAGAAACATTTTTTTGGGGACAAAGAGGCCAAGTATGTTGGTAAACTAGACATATTACAGGTGGCTAGAAAAGTTGATTTGTCTTAAAGATGTTTCTTCAATGTACGTAAATTTGTTCTCGACTTATATGTACAAAATCATATTTACGCATTTATGACTTTGGAGAATGTCATATTACATTTTGACCTCAAAATTCTCTATACTTTTATTTAATTGCTGATCCTAGAGATGAGAAGGAAGAGCACCTGAAGAATAGGCTAGTTACTATAGCCAGTACATCATCTAACGGTCCAAGTCCCAGTGATGCTTTGCCTAGAACAGCACAGCTGGTGCTTAAGGCTTCAACAAATTTGCCTCAATATTCGGTGAAAAGATCAACTTTGATGAAAAATAACAGTAGTGAAGAGCCAGTGCTGAAGAAATCCAGGCTAACAGTAGGCAACAAGTTTTTTTTCCTGCTCTGATTGATGTTATAGATATAAATGACTACTTTAACTTTTTGTATTAATTAATGAAGTCACATAATGACTGAGTACTGTAGTATTGGTTAACTTTGTATTCCTGAAATTGGCACAAATGAATTTCTACAACAGTTTTTATATCAGGATCTTCTTTTTAAGTTTGTAGATGAGGTGAAAACATTTTTGAGGGAAGTCAATTTTGATGTAATTGATATGGACACACTTACATTTGCAGGTAACGATCTCTCTCTCTCTCTCTTTCTCTCTCTCTCTCTCTCTCACATGCATTTATGTATGTTCACATAACAATAAATTTTAAAATGTATTTATATTTTAACACTAGCAGTTTATTGTTATATATTTATATTTTTATTCCTCAGATTTAAGACATCAGATGGAGAAACTTAAATGCAGGAAATTATGTAAAGAGGAAAAGAAACTGTTTCTTGATATGGCTCAGGCTTTTATTACTGAAATGGATTGTGACGAGAAAGAGATAAAGTCTCTAGAAACCTCTCATTCACCACACAGCAGTAGAAGTGAGAATGTTGAGGGTGAAACAAGAATTGCAACCACAGGTCATAAAGGACATAGAGTAAACCATAAACCAGACATATCCAGTTCAAGTTATCCATCCAGTGCTGATGAGAGAAATGTGACAGTTCCACAGAGTACAAAAGGAAAAAGGTCTAAGAGACTGGTTTATGACAGAAAACACAGTGTGCAAACTGTACCAGATGAGACACAGGTAGATTTAAAATCTACAAATACTTATTCTGCTAGTGATAATATTCAAGACCCTACAGAGTGTCCAATATGTGGAGGTAAGTCGGGTCAACAGCATTATAACTTTTTTTTTTTACCTTTGTCTTGCCAGGAGAGCAGAACAATATACTGAGCTTGATATGGAAGTTATTTTTAAAGAATTGCAAAAGATACAAAATGTCAAGATTTCCATTAAAAATGTGTTTGACATAAGTTGAGAAGTGTCGTTTTTGCAATGTTATTAAAAACTTATTTGCTTCACAATTTGTCCTTACCTTATCTTCATTCTTTATAATAAAGTGTAATCTGTACTTTTTTGTAAGCACAGCCTTGTAGAAATTAGATGTTAAGAACTGTTTTAGTACCTATTAAATGTTTTATTTATTTCTTCAGATACCTTTAGTCGAGATGAAATTGAACACCATGCAGCCATGTGCGGTGAGGTATCCAGCTTCCCCTCTTCTCCGTCACAATCTCCTCCTTGGATGGAATACCCCCAGTCGTCACAGTCACAATCATCACTAGCTCAACAAACACAATCTTCGCCCTTTTCATCAAATGGAAACGTGGAGAAAGTGTCGTGCCCTATCTGCGGAGCGGAGTTCTCAGTACTGGAAATTGAAGAACATGCAGACAGCTGTGTTCAGATGCAAACTCAGGGATTTTCTGTGGTGTATTAAAACATTCACGATAACTATATTAATGTTACAGTAGAAAGCTATTGTATAACGTTACAGTATTATAAAAACGATTGTGTCATGTTCAACAGTACGGACTCTTGGAAGCAGAGTGGTAGCGTGCTCCATGTTGATTAACTGTGGGCAATGAGGTTTTTGAAGTGATAAGCCTTTTATAATAATAATAAGTGTGATGAAATTACTGCATTTCGTTTTGAGGGTTTTATGGATGAAATGTACAACAATTGAAGGAATATGTCTCTGTCTCAAAATTTTTAACAACAAAAGGAGCCCCCAGTCTTTGCAAACTTTTCCCCCGAGTTGTATGAATATAATGTTGTTTTTGCAGTGTTTTATTGAACCGACTGCCTCTTGTTCTTGAGTAGAATTCAACTTGATGGGCGGAAAATCACTGACAAGAATACCTTGGTCTTGGTGGTCATGTATTCGTTATTTTATTTATTTTTTGTCTGTGTGTGCTCACGCAATGACTGTACAATAGAGATTTTTCTTCATTAGGAAATTGCTTTGTGGCTTGCTCCGCCACATTGTTAACATGTAGCGCTTTTCAGGACCATGCCTGATTTTCTGTTGTGTACCTCACTGCTTCAGTATCAATAAGCTAGTTGGACTCCTGGGCTTTTATAAGTTCCTCCAAGGACCCTTTAGATCAAAAGATTTAGATCGATATCATTGTTAGAACCAGAAACGGACGAGAATTGCACGAGAAAGAACTCGACTTGAACTCTATAACCGGAGAATAAATACTGCCGTTGATTACCTCCGCCAAGGAGGTTATGTTTTCACCCTTGTTTGTCTGTCATCAACATAACTTAAAAAGTTATGTGCCGATTTTATTGAAATTTTCAGAAACTGTTAGAAGTGGGCCAAGAAACAGATGAATAATTTTTGGTGGTGATCCGGATCAATAATCAATCAATAATCAATAATAATAAAAAATTGCTGCCTTGGCGAGGTCTGCTCTCTCGGAGTGCTTTTCTAGTTAAACTATGTATTTCCAAACTCCCTAACAAGTGAATTTAACATGATATGGGTCATGTTATTTTTAGTAAACTTTTGCATAAATCCCTTGGTGTCGGCTTAACTGTAAAAATACCAAATACTAATTCCCAGAAAGGGACAAAAAAAGTTAAGGATGTTGATGCACCTAATGGTGAAAACCACCAGCAGAAGTACAACCTGTACCAGTACAATGTTTAACATTAGGGAAATAGTTGTGGGCGGATTTTGTCGAAGGGGACCAAGTAACAAACCATAAGATTTTGTTCCCAATCTATTGATTAATTAGTTAATTAAAAAGTCTGTTAGCAACAGTATGCAAAAATTTATGAACGGATTATGATGGAATTATCGGGATAGGTAAGAAATGGGCTAGATTTTAATGTGATCCATATTCAGTTGGATCAATTAATTAGCTGATTTATAGAAAATGATAATTAACCAATTGCTCAGTTGAAAGACAATGAAAATGAAGTAAACCGATTAATTAATGACTAGAATTGAACTGTCTGACCAGATGGAATCCAGTTAAGTAGGAATTAATTTAAAAAATCAACGATATCGAGTACTGATACTCTTTTTAGTCTTTTGGCTTTGTGCATACAATAGTTGAACGATAATGAATTAGCACTTGCATATTTGTAGGATGGTTTGGGATTGCTCTAATCTACAAATGCAGTCACTCATGATCAATATTGTCCTTTGTTACATAGCTTGCGGTCACTTGCCTGTCAATTATGTTTTTTTTTTCTGCAGCTGAACTCTCGGTGCGTATATTTTGAAAGTAGGTATCTCTTGCCAGTTTTACTGTCTCTGTATTTATTATTATTATTATTATTATTATTATTATTATTATTATCTCTATGATATGATGTCAAAGCTGTATTTGCTGTTTGTCATTTATACTTATTACACAAGATATACCAAATACAAGCCCACCCACCCACCCACCCACCCAGCACCCCACCCTGGTGTTAGAAGTTCCACGTCCCATAAATGAGATATCAGTCACCATATATTTACATTTAAGTCTTATATAACTAATAAGATGTATGGGAATCATGAAAACGACTAAATTATCAAATTTCAATAGGGATAATAGGCTCGTTCTCGTATGGATCCAATTCATTTAGCCGTGCATATCTCATTAATATGCACATCTATCAAGGTAAATATCGACTACATAAACTAGCTGCAACACACCCAAACACACCATACGTGAGCTGAATCGTCAATGTAAACTGGGGAATACAACATGAACGGACCAATTGTTTCTCAGTTTGGCACAGGTACTGACGCCAATTCTAATGGAATAATAAGGTAGAGTACAATGTAATTATCCCGTAGATGAAAAACGAGATGATAGAAGATTGTATAAGCACAATCTGGTCAGATAGCATAGAGGCATAATAAAGAACGGGGGATCACCAGAATGGGTTTTTATTAATTACAATTTCTTTTTCGCTGACACATTTATTTAATTTTTTTAACTTATTAATTTTTTTTATTCCTTTTTTTTTTTTTTTTTTTTTTTTTTTTTTTTTTTTTTTTTTTTTTTTAAAATTCGATCCATGAAACGCAATCTCTGCATTAGACGATATCGCACCAATGGAGAAAAGAAATGTCGCATCAGTATCTGATAACTCAATTTTTTATCAGTGCCTCACAAGTACATGTATGTGACTGTCTGTAAAATAATGTGCATTTATGACGGTAAAGGAAATATAGAACATCGACTAACAGCTGCTATAAGCACAATTATGTTTGTAATGTCCACTTGAAAGGAGCAAAGCAAACTTTTTCCGGGTTGATTGATCCGTTCTTAAGCATGGTTCTGTTATTCTGGAACTTGAGTGCACTTTTACATGTTATCAAAGGAAGAGAAACGCAATGTCACCAATGGTATTAGAGTGACATTGCAACGTGTGTAGTGAGTACAGGCAGATAGCTAAAATACAGACAGTGATCAAGCCTAGCCATCGTGTCGTGATTCATATAGGTCGCCATCGTGACAAGAAATATCGATATCAAGTACTTTACGTTTCCTCCATCTAAATTGCCACAAACATTCCACTTACTATACGTAGTAAGCTAACAAACACGCACAAACATTGATAGTTGGACATTTGGCCAATCAAGGTCGCTTTTTTAGAACATCCTAGGCCTACTAATGAACAGGATATTAAGACTAAAAATATGACAAAGGTCTGACCGATCAAAATGGCCGATAAGAGCTGTCATGGACACAAACAGTTAAGGTACAGACGGTGCAGACACTTAGATGTCTAAAATGTAGTTAGTATATACCAGACTATAAGTAGAGGTGGGCAAATGACAAAATTTTTTTAAAACAGGTGGATTCTATGGCCATTTTTGCTGCTGAACACAAATCTGACAATATTTTTTACCAAAGCTAAAGATTTATATTGGTATCTGCTATTTGTTTGTGAAAAAAGGCGGGAAATGGCTTTTTGGCCATATTTTCACAGTAAAGTACATAAAAATGATGTGTAATATGTCTTTCTATATGTTTTGAGGGTTGCTGAGTTCAAATATGAGCATATTCAAGACATTGGCAATATTGTTAGGGTGACATCTGTAAAAATATGTTATTTAAAACAAACATATACATAAAATACACACTTCGAGCCTAAGATAAATATAAATAATGGCCATTATGTACATACTGAATTCATGGATTACAGTTTGATATAAAAACAATGCTGAAAATACCTTCATGGATGTGTACCAACAAATTTTATGCTGTATAATTTTCTTTTTCTTCAGAACAGGTAAAACTTTGTCAGGTGACATCAACCTCTTACAACTTCTAATCTCTTGACCTTGGAATAGTACTTAGTTTCAGTTGTGTAGTTTAAGAGTATCTCACCACAACAATGAAAGCATCAACAAGAAATACACTGACACCAGAAGGCACTGTAAAGCCCCCTGTCACACTTATTTGGAATCTGAAGTAATCAAGCGGAATGAGCCATAATGAAGAATTTTCAAAATTCGCGCCACATTTGTTGGGTAATATCAAATTGACCTTAATTCCAGAAAGAATACCTCAGAATGCGCTTCGAACCCACCTGGAATGATTCGTGCACATTTCGGTTGTATTGTATTAGCTCTCAAATGCAGCTCGAATGTAGTTGGAACACATTAGGAATATCGTCAATGCTAATGCCGTTCACCCTAAATATAGTGAGAATATTTAGAATGCACTTCAAATACCATACAAGTGTGGTTTCATTGTTGGCTGAATCCCAGCCTGCAATCAAGATGCATTCGAGTTGCATTCCTGCTCATTGGAGGCACAATGTGGAACATTCTGACAAGATTTGAAGCGCCTTGCCATTTCGGTTCTCCCTCGAATGTAATCAAAATGTTTCGAATGCTGTTGGAATTTCGTAAGAATTTTAAGAATGCGCTCATAGTCATTTAGAATACACTTGAATGCCATTCGATACTTTTCCACTTGGAATGCACTTCGAAAGTTTTGAGAATGAGCAAAATATTTCAACCGTACGAAAGAATGGACCCAAACATTAAGAATGCGCTTAGAATTTTAAGATACTTCAAATATCCAGGAACAAACAAGAAATTTTTATTCCGACTACATTCTAGCTCATTCCGCCTATAGCGTGACTAGGTTATAAATGAAGACAATAAGGATACTGTCACCGTTCACCCAAAACTCCTTATTTACTGCCTTACATACATTCTTTTCGGTGATAAATAAATTTTCAGTGTTCAGTGATTACATTAATTAACATTTACACATGTCATCTTACAGGTGATGGTATAATTGCAGTTTGGGGGTAAAAACTGAAAAATCAGTTTCTCAAATGTCTGTTTTACTTGAACACCCGTGATCACTATTTCAAAGCCAATTTAATGACACCATTTAGTACCCCAAAACCCTGCCAGCGATTTTTTAAAGCCTTAGTTCAGATTTGATTGTTGATAAAGCAAAATAATACCTTTGTTTTTAGAAGATCGGTCATTACGGACCCATGACTCCATAACAAAAGCATTTAAACCATAACGTTGGCATGGGATTGTAGCTCATGCCCTTGTGGTCCATTGGCCAATCCTTGTGATAAAATCTTGTTCAGGGATGAAGTTAAGCCCCATATGCATTGCTAACTAATATCAAAAAAGAAAGTTATTAAATAGATGATTAAAGCTTTGAGTTGCTTATGCTTATACATTGCAACGAAAAAATATAAACGCCATTATTTCATATTTTTAAGAGTTTTTTCATTGTTTCAAAGCAGCACAAAGACGGATACATTATTGAATAATTAGATGCAGGAAAAAACTCATTTTCGGTATCTGGATGGTAATAAAGAGTAACAATATCCTTAATGCTCTGCTACTGAGTGTTCTACTGTAAATATTCCCGTATGTAACTAACATTATGCTATTCTATATGTCAAAACTTTTCATTTTCATGTGATCCTTGAACAATACTGACCATATTTGTTGTATTATTTTTTCCTAATTTAAAAGCCACAGTTGCATATAAACATTTGTATTTATTGTACACAGAAATGGTGATTTTGGGGTGATTTTTACCTCAAATTGACCAAAAAATTCTCTTTTTAACCCAAAATGAAGTGACCCAACCAAAATGATGTATCTATTTATGCTCATTGATCATGAAATCATATGGTTAGACATATAAAAAGCCATGTTTGAACTGATATTTAAAGATTTACATGAGAAATATGTGATTTGAGGGAGCGTTTGGTGGCCATTTTGAAAAATCACCTGATACCAATATCAGATGTAATTTAAAATGAAAATACTTATTAGATTTGTATTCAGCAGCCAAAATGGCCATAGAATCCACTTGTCTGAAATTAAATTTTCCAAAAAAGCTTTCATTTGCCCACCCCTACTATAAGGAAATGGGAATTTGTACGAAATGGCACTTTGGCTATAAATAATATAATTGATAAAAGATATTGAACAGTAAAAACTGAATAAACCAGGATAATCAAAATATCGAGTCACGGCTCTTAAGAAAGAATGCATTGAGCAGAGACTGAAAATGGTTTAGCTCAATTTGCACAAGTCTTAATATAACACGAAAGTAGCCTATAGGGGGATCGACAGCAAATAATATATCATTATAGGCCTACATCATTTATATATATAAGCATACAGACAATGAGGATGTGATTATGTAATTGAAAGATTAGACACAGTTACAGATAATAGTGCTAATATTACAAGACACACAATGGAATGTTAAAATTTAACAAATGAGTTTTAAAACAACATTTGCCTGGGCGCAGATTTTGGCACGCAGTGCAGCGGTTTTACATGTATCTAATTTCGTTTTATTGCTATTTCCCCTAACTGGGACCTAGACTTCATAGTTCATGATGAAATGTCTTTTTTTACACCGGCTAGCAAGCAAGATACAAAAGAAAGAAACAAAACTTTTGGTTTTGCTGGTTATTCTCCAGTTAATTGATAGTACATGTGATTGCTGGTGTACTTTTTAACAATCCGAATCTACAAAAAAAAGAAGAAAAATATTTAACACCTTTTAACAATTACAATACCAGTATCTGAAAATATTTTTTAAAAAATTCCAAACGAGTGAAAGTAAATTTTGACATGCCAAACAACATTTGAACAGGGCTTTGTAACTGACCAATCAGAGGCGTAGAAATGAGGCCAATATATCTATCTGTCTGTAGATGAGAGTAAAACACAAACATGCTAGACAGAATAGGACACTGCAACTGACCAATCAAAGGGCTATAATTCTACAATGGATATTATTAAGTGCGGATAGACAGGTTCTAATGGAAGGTGTGTACGAACATTTGTACCACCACAACTAGGGCTAGTCTTTTTAGTAAATAAGTTTTAAGAAAGTTTCAGACAAGGCCAATGCCTTGGCAGCTCAAACAGCCATAGTGTATCATCTTCTGGCACTAGTGCAAATACGCTACAATGGCTTAACTTTGTATGTCTGATAAAGACTCTGAGGCCATTAAAAAATCGAAATCTGGTTCCATTTGTCAGAAATGCAGAAATGTCGATATATATTTCCTTTGCTGATGGGGGTAATACCAGTAAATATGTTAGAAAGGACAAAAACCGCAACATATCCCATCCGGCCGAGCTATGTTCAGCCACCATTGAAATGTGCTAAACATAAAGAAACCAGACATTAAATCTGATACAATTGGCATAACATGCATGGCAGCATGAGTATGAATAGAAAGTAGATTTTGATTTTATCTTGCTTCTCTTCGCATGATCTAAACAACAGATGATTGCAACTACTACATTGTCGGTGATCTAGTTGTAATTTAGATTTTAAGAGATTTGCAATAATAAATCTAGGATATAGACCATATTTCCCATTTTAATAGACGTCGCGTGATTCATCATTTGTGGTTATTTTAACTACCCAGCTGTCATCAAGTAAGTATAACGTTAATAATGACAGCAAGTTTTTCGTTTCACAAGCAGAGAATTGCATTTTCGTTTTATCCGTTGGTTAATATATACTGGGTCTTGTTTTCCAAAATACACGTGGCTCAGACTGGTGAAAACGATAGCCGATGACGTTACGAATGATTGACCCACATTCAATAACATGTGGATTTTGGATAATTTAATGATATATTGTCAAGACAACCATAGTTTGCTTTGGGGACCAAACTGGAGTAAAGTACCTTTGAGATTCTCCGTAAAACAGAATCTGGGCTAATATTTTCATAAGAATTGTAGGCGTAGTTCGGTCCCTTGGTTCTAAACTGTTTACCAGAGGCTCTGTTCTGGTCCTACACCTGCTAATGTCCATCATGACGTGTTCTAACGTGTTCCCCAAACGTGTCCTTGGCTGACTCTATTATGGTCTCCAATATTTGAGGTTTAAAACTTTGAGAGGCAANGTTATTGAATCATTTTTGGCATCTACTTAATTCCATGAAAGGTTAAATTTATACTATGTGTTGCTCGTTTTGTTAGGATGAAAAGCACCCGGTGGAAAATCTTCTGTGCGGTGAGGTACAGAACAAGAAGTGGCTGTGTTCACAAAGTGACCGTAAAGGACATATTGAGGCTACAATTCAGTTAGAACAGTTGACACAGATTACACACATTGACATTGGTTAGTAGGTCTGTTTATGTGGTCAGTGTGGAAGGAGAAAAATTTACTGTATAAAACTGTTCATGTTATAGTATACCCGTGCATGTATGCACATTTGAATATGGTATTAGTACTATTTAATGACCTTTATATTACCCAAAGAAAGCACACTTGATATGTTTAAAATTATTAAGATATTATAGTCTGATTGATTCGATTTTTTCAAGATTTCGTTTAAAGATATTGTGCCAGCTGTTGCATTCTCCTATTTGTAAAGTCATTGAATTTTGTTTTTTTTTCAGATGAAATATTGAACAACAATGCAATTTAGCTATTCATAAGGTTCATTTTAGTGCCAGGAAATCCACATTTACATGTATTTCTTGATTATTTTTTATGGCAAGCACTCTTTAACATCCTTTGATTAGTTGTAGTTCTTCATTTGTTCAGTGAAATTTAACCAAGTTTTTGTTACTGTTCCCAGGTAGTTATGGCTGCTTCACTGTGTCAGTTCAGGTCGGTCTCTCCACTTGGCCTCAAGACCGACCATATCAGACCCTGATCCCAGCCTTCATCTTCATGTCTTTGGCAGACTCAAAACTGGGCAAGAATAAGGTTAAGGCACAGATGTTCAATAAAGGTGTGAGCAAGTGTCATTGGTGTTTGTTAAGGCTAAGTCAAAGTAACAACTGTTTTTGTTTATTAATAAATGTAGATATAAAAAGTACATGTAAATCTTAAAATACTTATACCATATGTCTCATGTAAATGTAATGGTACTAATTTACTAGAAGCATATTTTCAATAATTTACGATTAATTTTATATCTGGCATTCTTTTCCAGACGAACATTTTGACAAGGATGTGTCTTGTCAAAAGTGGGACAGGGTCAAAATTTTGTGTAGTCAACCATTTAAGAAGGAATCTCAGTTTGGACTGATGTTTCTCAGAATTCTTGCAGCCAGCAGTGAACAAACTAATGAGAACAAAGAGGTGTGTATTGTGTTGGTCTATTTGAAATAATTAAACATATCTATTATGTTCAAAGTTTGACAAATAATATCTAATGAGACAAGTTTTATCCCTGATTAACTTTATATGGCAGAACTATGCCATGTGTAAAACGCAGGGTGAATGCAAAATAATGTGTATGGAGAAAGGTGTCAAAACATTTTATTGGTGCCAACTTATGTTCAAGTATTGATCAAGAAAATGTTTTAAGTGCAATGTTGTTGAGAATTCAAGTATCTATGCATACATATTTAAACTCTTACTTAATTTGTTGATTTATTTGTTTATCTGTAAATGTATAACAGACATGAGCCTTTTCCAAGAAACAACAGAATTCCAAGATTTTTAATTAAGATTTGATGTGGTCTAAAGCAGATCCTGGATCCCTGGTTAACTGAGTATTTTGTCCCATTATGCATGGGAACAAACAAACTGCCTCATGTCTGTTAACTTTTTCTAAATGTGTATTTTTCATTTTTCACTTCAGCCTTTGTCTCCACCTTGTAATAAATCACAGGGAAGAAATTTATCCTTCAGAACACCACAGGATCATAAAACAAGCCAAAACTCCTCCCCTGCTTGGAAGTCTGCCAGTCAGATAAAGAAACATTTCTTTGGGGACAAAAAGGCCAAGTATGTTGGTAAACTAAACATATTACAGGTGGCTAGAAAAGTTGATTTGTTTTAAAGATGTTTCTTCAATGTACATGAATTTGTTCTTGACTTACAGGTACAAAATCATATTTACGCATTTATGATTTCAGTGAGAATGTCATATTACATTTTGGCATCAAAATCCTCTATACTTTTATTTAATTGCTGATCCTAGGGATGAGAAGGAAGAGCACCTGAAGAATAGGCTAGTTACTATAGCCAGCACATCATCTAATGGTCCAAGTCCCAGGGATGCTTTGCCTAGAACAGCACAGCTGGTGCTCAAGGCTTCAACAAATTTGCCTCACTATTCTGTGAAAAGATCAACTTTGATGAAAAATAACAGTAGTGAGGAGCCAGTGCTGAAGAAATCCAGGCTAACAGTAGGCAACAAGTTTTTCTCCTGCTCTGGTTAATGTTATAGATATAAATGACCACATACTTTAACTTTTTGTACTAATTAATGAAGTCACATAATGACTGAGTACTGTAGTATTGGTAAACATTGTATTCCTGAAATTGGCACAAATGAATTTCTACAACAGTTTTTATATCAGGATCTTCTTTTTAAGTTTGTAGATGAGGTGAAGACATTTTTGAGGGAAGTCAATTTTGATGTAATTGATATGGACACACTTACATTTGCAGGTAACAATCTCTCTCTCTCTCTCTCTCTCTCTCTCTCACATGCATTTATGAATGTTAATTCACATAACAATAAATTTTAAAATGTGTTTATATTTTAACACTAGCAGTTTATTGTTATATATTTTTATTCCTCAGATTTAAGACATCAGATGGAGAAACTTAAATGCAGGAAATTATGTAAAGAGGAAAAGAGACTGTTTCTTGATATGGCTCAGGCTTTTATTACTGAAATGGATTGTGATGAGAAAGACAAAAAGTCTCAAGAAACCTCTCACTCACCACACTGCAGTAGAAGTGAGAATGTTGAGGGTGAAACGAGAAATCCAACCACGGATCATGAAGGACATATAGTTAACCATAAACCAGACATGTCCAGTTTAAGTTATCCATCCAGTGCCAGTGAGAGAAATGTGACAGTACCGCAGAGTACAAAAGGAAAAGGGTCTAAGAGACTGGTTTATGACAGAAAACACAGTGTGCAAACTGTACCAGATGGAACACGGGTAGATTTAAAATCTACAAATACTTATTCTGCTAGTGATAATATTCAAGACACTACAGAGTGTCCAATATGTGGAGGTAAGTCTGGTCAACAGCATTATAACTTTTTCTTTGACCTTTGTCTTGCCAGGAGATCAGAACAATATACATACTGAGTTTGATATGGAAGTTGTTTTTAAAAGAATTGCAAAAGATACAAAATGTCAAGATTTCCATTAAAAATGTGCTTGACATAAGTTGAAAAGTGTCGTTTTTGCAATGTTATTAAAAACTTATTTGCTTCACAATTTGTCTTTACCTTATTTTCATTCTTTATAATAAGAAAGTGTAATCTGTACTTTTTTGTAAGCACAGCCTTGTAGAAATTAGATGTTAATGACTGTTTTTGTACCTCTTAAATGTTTTGTTTATTTCTTCAGATACTTTTAGTCGAGATGAAATTGAACATCATGCAGCCATGTGCGGCGAGGTGTCCAGCTTCCCCTCTTCTCCGTCACAATCTCCTCCTTGGATGGAATACTCCCAGTCGTCACAGTCACAATCATCACTAGCTCAACAAACACAATCTTCGCCCTTTTCATCAAATGGAAATGTGGAGAAAGTGTCGTGCCCTATCTGTGGAGCGGGGTTCTCAGTGCTGGAAATTGAAGAACATGCAGACAGTTGTGTTCAAATGCAAACTCAGGGATTTTCTGTGGTGTATTAAAACATTCACGATAACTATATTAATGTTACAGTATAAAGCTATTGTATAACGTTACAGCATTATAAAAACGATTGTGTCTTGTTCAACAGTACGGACTCTTGGAAGCAGAGTGGTAGTGTGTTTCCATGTTGATTAACTGTGGGCATTGAGATTTCTGAAGTAATGTAAGCCTTTTATAATAATAATAAGCGTGATGAAATTACTGCATTTCGTTTTGAGGGTTTTATTGATGAAATGTACAACAATTGAAGGAATATGTCTCTGTCTCAAATTTTTTAACAACAAAAGGAGCCCCCAGTCTTTGCAAACTTTTCCCCCGAGTTGTCTGAATTTAATGTTATTTTTGCAGTGTTTTATTGAACCGACTGCCTCTTGTTCTTGAGTAGCATTCAACTTGATGGGCGGAAAATCACTGTCAAGAATACCTTGGTCTTGGTGGTCATGTATTCGTTATTTCATTTATTTTTTGTCTGTGTGTGCTCACGCAATGACTGTTTACAAAAGAGAATTTTCTTCATTAGGAAATTGCTTTGTGGCTTGCTCCGCCACATTGTTAACATGTAGCGATTTTCAGGACCATGCCTGATTTTGTGTTGTGTACCCCACTGCTTCAGTATCAATAAGCTAGATAGACTCCTGGGCTTTTATAAGTTCCTCCAAGGACCCTTTAGATCAAAAGATTTAGATCGATATCATTGTTAGAACCAGAAACGGACGAGAATTGCACGAGTAAGAACTCGACTTGAACACTATAACCGGAGAATTAATACTGCCGTTGATTACCTCCGCCAAGGAGGTTATGTTTTCACCCCTGTTTGTTTGTCTGTCTGTCTGTCATCAACATAACTTAAAAAGTTATGGACCGATTTTATTGAAATTTTCAGAAACTGTCAGAAGTGGGCCAAGGAACAGATGAATAATTTTTGGTGGTGATCCGGATCAATAATCAATCAATAATAATAATAAAATTGCTGCCTTGGCGAAGGTCTGCTCTCTCGGAGTGCTTTTCTAGTTAAACTATGTATTTCCAAACTCCCTAACAAGTGAATTTAACATGATATGGGTCATGTTATTTTTAGTAAACTTATGCATAAATCCCTTGGTGTCGGTTTAACTGTAAAAATACCAAATACTAATTGCCAGAAAGGGACAAAAAAAAGTTAAGGATGCTGATGCACCTAATGGTAAAAACCACCAGCAGAAGTACAACCTGTACCAGTACAATGGTTAACATTAGGGAAATAGTTGTGGGCGGATTTTTGTCGAAGGGGACCAAGTAACAAACCATAAGATTTTGGTCCCAATTCATTGATTAATTAGTTAATTAAAAAGTCTGTTAGCAACAGACATTTATGAACGGGTTATGATGAAATTATCGGGATAGGTAAGAAATGGGCTAGATTTTGGTGTGATCCATATTCAGTTGATGGATCAATTAATTAGCTGATTTATAGAAAATGATAATGTTGAAAGACAACAAAAATGAACATGAAGTAAACCGATTAATCAATGGCTAGAATTGATCTGGATTGAGATGGAATCCAGTTCAGTAGGAATTAATTTAAAAAATCAACGATATCGAGTACTGATACTCTTTTTAGTCTTTTGGCTTTGTGCACACAATAGTTGAACGATAATGAATTGGCACTTAGATTGTGTAGGATGGTTTGGGATTGCTCTAATCTACAAATGCAGTCACTCATGACCAATATTGTCCTTTGTTACCTTGCTTGCGGACACTTGTCTGTCAATTGTTTTTTTTTTCTGCAGCTGAACGCTCGGTGCGTATATTTTGAAAATAAGTATCTCTTGCCAGTTGTATTGTCCGTATACTATTATTATTATTATATAGTGTCAAAGCTGTTTT